GGCACGCGGCCCCGGTTCCGAGTTCGTCGTCTGGAAGGAAGCCGGAGAGACCATTCAAGTGGATCCAGGTCGAGAGGGGCTGGCCATGGGACGGGCTAGAACGGACATGGGAGTGCACCGACGGCCTGCGCGACGACCAGACATAAGCATCCCATCACTGGAGCGCTGCCGACCCAAACGCTGGGGCCGAGGAGGAGCTCGGGGGCGTGCCGGAGGTTTTCCCGGCGATAGTCCTCGGCTGGCTGATGTTGGTGCGATCGGGCCTTGACTCGCGCGAGCGCGCGGCGATCGTGACCGCCGCCGGGGGCTCGCTGGACGTCAGCCTGATCCGTGAGAAGCTGATCTCGAGCTGGGAGGACGACGACTTGGCGGAGAGAGACGGGCAATCCATGTTCCCGAGGGCGTACGTGGCCCAGCTCGAAGAGGACGATCGCACGTGGCTAGACTGCGAGGAGGGCGGACCAATTGCGAGCAGCTTCGCAGCTGGCCGTGAGCATCAGGAGCCGCGCGAGGAGGAGCCCGACCAGACGGAGGCCAACGACGAGGACATCGAGGCGTACTTGGTAGAGCAGTACGAGGAGGCGGAGGCGCTAGCGGCGATTCACGCCGCCCAGCGCACCCTTCGCCAGGTCCGCGAGGCGCGGGCGGACAGCCGCCTGAGCAGGGGCTTCTACCGCGGAGGCCGGCCCGGGGGCAAGGGGGCTGGCCGAGGATTTCCAGCGGGACCCTGTCGGCCGATGCCTCCCCAGTGCGGCGCCAGGGGCCAGATGTTGCCGCCGAGCAAGGGCCGGAAGAAGTGTGCGAAGTGCGGCGGCGCGCGCTGGGCGCAGGACTGCCAGGATCGCCGCGGCCCCCGGCTCACGCCAGGGGCGACGGGCCCGCCAGAGGCGAGCGCGAAGGTGGCGAATTGCAGGAAGGAGCTGAAGTTCAACCTGGTGGCGTCGCTGGTCGCCGAGCAGAAGTCTGGGGACTCGAAGTGCGAGGCGATGTTCGCGGACCAGGTCATCCAGGGAATTGTCGACCTTGGCTGCGCAGACGCCATGGGCGGCGAGCGTGCGCTCGACATCGTGGCCCGCATGAACATGGAGAAGTACGGCGACGCGAGGCTGCGGGAGGCGAATCTGGACTACCAGCCGGTCTATGGCTTCGGGAATGGCGGGAAGGAGCGCGCCTACGGCCAGGTGAAATTCGGCATCGCCGGCGGCGGCATGGAGGGCGACATCGCCATCGACGGTTTCGCGAAGGACGTCCCGATCCTCGTGTCCAAGAAGGTGCTGAAGAAGCTGGGAGCCGTCGTCGACTGTGACACTGGAGTCGCAGTGTTCGTGAAGCTGGCCCCGGGGATCCCGGCCCAGCTGGAAGAGTCACCAGACGGCGGCCGCTGCTACATGAGCCTGGTGGGCGACCTGCTCGAGCAGAGTGTCCAGGACCTGGCCGAGCTGCAGAACTTCAAGACGATCTGCAACCACCTCTCTGAATGGAGCAGGGCGAGCGCAGCCGCGTGCCAGGGCTCAGACGTCGGCGCAGACGAGCGCGCAGAGCGAGTCGAGTCATGCATGGATCGATCTTCGCCTGCTCATCTCGTCGACGTCACTCCCTGCTCTCCTCAGAGCGGCCCTCGGAGCACACAGGAAGGTCGCGGGCACATCCGCAGCCGTTCAGGCTCGAGCTCGGTGAGACCTTCCGCGTCCAATGCAAAAGTTCACTTTCAACGACCAGAAGTTCCTGATCCTCTGGATCCTACATATCCTAAGCCAGAGGCCGTCGATGGTAGAGCGATGCGCTGGGGCAGCCTCGTCCGCGAGGCCGTGCAACTCGCCTGCATCGGGGCTGCCAGCCGGTGTGACTCGGGCGTTCACGATGCCAACGTCACGCAGTGCGGTGCAGGGGCTCCACAAGGCGGAGGTCTCGCAGCTGCTCCAGGAGTTGCCCACCCTACAGCCGGGCCTGGAGCGTGGACGAGCTGAAGCAGATCCCCAAGGATAATATGTTCCCGAAGGCGGAGACGGCCGCGCAGATCGAGATGAAGGGCCTCGACTCGATGAAGAAGGCCCAGCTGCTCGCGAAGGCGACGCAGGTCGGAGCCCACGCAACGCCGGGCGTGACCTACCCTTCGCTCAAGCTCTCGATCCGCAAGGCGATCCTCCAGAGGCACGCGCCGGAGCCGACCGACTACATGGGCTTCGGGAAGCACGGCGCCCTGACGTACCAGCAGGTTCTGAGCCAGCACCCCACCTGCGCGACCTGGTGCAAGACGGAGGTGAACGCTGGGAGCAGCTGGGAGATGGCCAGGTTTGTCTCATGGCTCAACGAGCAGGAGGTGGTCCGCGCGAGGCAGGAGGTAACCAGTGACCCTGGGGAGACCCCGACGGCGCCGCCGAGGGCTCGAGGGGGCGCGAGGTCATCCCGCCGAAGGACGATGGACGTGATTATGGAAGACCAGCTCGAGGAGCAGGAGAAGCTGGAGGCCGCAGCCCAGGAGGAGAATAACACCAACTAGTACATCCAGCAGCAGATGCTGACCACGCTGAGCCAGCTCAGTCAGCGACTGGAGAAGCTCGAGGGGCAGCCGAGCTCAACGAGCTCCAACGCCGGGAGCTTCGTTCCTGTGGATTCCAGTCAGAGTGGTCCGCCCGAGACTTGAACTACACGAAGGAGCTGGACCCCCGGAGGCAGCGCTGGCTCGCGAAGTGCATCGAGGAGACCGGCCACGCTGAGGACTTCGACGCGCTGCTAGCCCATGGAGGGATCAAGCTCATGGAGGTGGCGCGCAGCCCGGCCTCCATCCTGAGGGCCAAGATGGCGGAGAAGTTCGGAGATGACGCCGTTCGGCGAGTCAGCGCCTGGAATGGCCACAAGCTCGGGACCCCAGCTGGGAACCAGTAGGCCAGGGGGGCACGTGATGATGCTGAGCCTGACCACCTGTGGGTCAGCATGCGGTGTGGGCCCCTGTCCAACTTCGCCCTTGGCTTCAAAGGCGCCAACCCTCTGAGGGCCAAGGGCAACGGGAAGCGCAGGCTCCAGGCGATCAAGGAGTACAGAGCCGCGGTGCAGCTATTGCACGACCAGGTGGCGCAGGGCAAGCACGCGCACTGGGAGTGGCCCATCAAGTGCGAGGGCTGGGGCCACGCGATGATCAGGCAGATGGTCGAGGACTGCTCGATGACGGTGGTCAAGGTCGCGGGGTGCCAGCTTGGGGTGAAGAACGAGATGGGCCAGCCGCTGCTCAAGGAGTAGCTGATCGCCACAACGTCCCCGAAGATGGCGGCGAGGATGTCCCTGGAGTGCCCCGGGGATCACTGGCGCGGCGAGCTCGCCGGCGGTGGACCCACAGCAGCCACGAGCTACTGCGCGGACGAGTTCGTGAAGAGGGCGGCCCGGGCGATGATCGAGGAGGTCTCGGACTACCGCGAGTTCCTGAGGTGCTTGGCGGAGCCCGAGGCGCCAGAAGGACAGGCGATAGCAGCTGGAAGGGAGGGGGCGTCAACAGGCGCGGACCCCAATTCGAAGGAGTTCCAGCAAATCATGCGCTGGCTGACCTCGGCGCACCGGGGATCGGGCCACAGCTCCAAGACCGCCATGCTGAACGCGCTCGGGCGGAAGGGCGCGAGCCCACTGGTGCTGCAGGTGGCCCGGGACTTTCACTGCGACGCGTTTGCGGAGGCGAACCAGTGCCGCCCCACGCATCCGCTGGTCAGCCTCGAGGTTACCCCCCCGAAGTGGAGGCGCATCCAGGCCGACCATTTCGAGTGGGGGCATCCCCGCAAGAAGACCAAGTCAAAGTTCTCGCTAATCATCGACCGGCGTCGCAACCCAGTCTGGGCCGACCTCGAGAGCTTCTACGAGGAGCGCTGGGTGCCGTATTTTGGCAAGCCCCAGAAGGTGAAGGTGGACCCCGAGGGCTCGTGGATGTCAGAGCAGGCCGCTGACTATTTCGACTCCGACTCCGTCGGGTACGAGCCGATTCCGGGGCAAGCCCACTGGCGCATCTCTCTCGCAGAGGAGGCGATCCAGGGGACTGGCTAGTCGCGGAGAGCCCCGAGATGTCCACCGAGGAGGCCCTGGCCAGGGCGGTCGCAGCCGGGGGCGCTCGCGAAGATGTCCGAGGCCATTCCCCTCTTCGACGTGCTCTGGGAAGGGCACCTGACTTGGATGGCCGCTTCTTCGAGGGCGACTTCGACGAGCTGCCCTGCGTCGAGGCCCAGCGCGTCGACGAGGAGTGCGGCGAGAACTACGCGAGGATGTGCGCGGCGGGGCAGGAGTACCTGAGGCAGGTCTACATGCGGCGCGTCAGCCGGGCCGAGAACGCGAAGAACCAGGCGCTGAAATCCGCGGCGCCAGGCATGTGGGTGCGCTATTTCCGCGAGGAGAAGGGCGAGACCAAGGGCCGCTTCAAGGGGCTCGCGAGGGTGCTGGCCACAGCGACTGCCCGTCCAGCGGACGGCGACCTGGGGCGGAGCGAGACCCTGCGCCCGGGGCGCTCTGGGTCAGTGGTTTGGCTGGTTCGGGCAGGCCGCATCATCGAGGTGGACCTGTGCCAGATCCTGGCCGCCTCTGCTCGCGAGATCGCGTGCGCCGAGCTCATGGGAGGCAAGGCCCCCCCCCGGACCGTCGACACCTTCATGAACCAGGCGGTGCGTCAGGAATACCTGGACTTCACCGGGCACGACCCCACGGAGCACGATCTTAACTTATCTCTAGTTTTCTAAGGGCAACGGATGGTCAGGGTACTCCAGGGGGAAGGATCGATCCGAGGGATCTGGGCGTTGCTCGCAAGCGGAACCTGGGACGTGACTAGGCCGCCAGGTTTGCTGCCAGTTGGGGGGCTTGAGGAAGAGAGCTGGGCTGGGGGTTTCTCCAGGCGACGTGGTGGAGACTCCGAACGGCGAGATGGCGAATCCGCTGCGAATGGACTACGGGGCCCTCCTCCTGGAACACCCCTGGATTGAAGGGTCGCGCTGGCGTTGTCGCGGTGAGGTGGAGTACTGGGGGCGTTGGAATGTCCCAGGACTTCACGCAGGAGACGAGTACTACGTCTGGGCTGACGTTGACGAGCTTCGCCATCGACGAGGCTTGCTGCCGGCATGTGAACGGCCGCCGTCATACATCGCGAAGGTGGAAAAGGCACAGTTCTGCAGATGAAGCGGGAGACGGCGGAGGACGAGACAATGGGAAAACATAGCGAGAACGTGGACCGGGCGGCGCGTGGGGGGGCGCCCGATGTGGAGGAGAAAAACGGGCGCTGGCCCACCGGCGACTTGATCTACTATCTGGCGTTGAGGAGCCGAGCTGGACGGACGTTTGATGGTCAAGCTCAGGGCCCCATGGCGGCCATCAGCGAGCAGATGGCGGATATGCTTGCAGTTCTGCATCAACGCCCGAGGTGCTATACCTTTCATGTTTGGACGAAGCTGTTGACGTCCATCCCCGTCGAGGGAGCCATTCGCGCGCGCGCGGTCGCATCGCGCGGCGCGTTTGACGCCGAGATCGCGGGGAACTACCTGGCGGGGGCAGCCGGGGCCAGGATTGCGAGCCTATCTATGGTTACTTTGCCGCGTGTACGCAGACCGAGGTTGACGATCCCGCGAGTGCTCGCTCTGCGTCAGAGTTCGCCTGGAGGAGCTTCAGGGGCCCACCAGGCTGGGCCCCCGCGGCGCTGGCTCTCGTCGACAGCATGAATTACAAGGGTCTTCCGAGGGTTGGCAGGGAACTCTGGTATACACCACGAGAGGAAAATAAGCTAATCAAGGACAGCTAGTGGGAGCTGGCGAGAGACGACGAAGCCGCGCTCCCGGATCTCGCAGAGCAGATCGCGGACCACGGCAAGCAATGGCCGAGCGAGGGGCCGAAGCGCATTCTCGACAGCTGCCGCGAGGTGTCAAAAGCCGTGTATCTTCTTAAGGGGTATGTATCCAGCGCCCCACCAGCTGCGGAAGCTCCGAAGGAGGCCATGAACACCGCGGCGACACTCGAACATTGCGTCTCCACTCCTGTGGTGGAGGAATCCCCAGTAGAGAAGGGCCAGTTACTTCCTGGGCACGGAGAGAACTGCATCAGCGCCCACTAGAAGAAGAGCTACAAGCTGTTTCAAAAAAGGTGAAAGCAAGCCTTCGAGAAGATGATGGGTGATCATTGGAATGCGCGTGCCAAGATCGACGTGGCGACGCGCAGCCTGATCGGCAATCTCCGTCGCTAAGATTGCGTTGGGCGCGTTGGGCATGGAAACAATCTGGGACATTCAGCTGTCGAAAGGGTCCAGCTTTTCCAATGAACATCTCTTAGGTATCATCGGTGGCCTTTATGGCTAGGGCCCGATGTCATATCCAACTGGGCAGTGGTGTTTCATCGATATGTCCTAGATGCGCACCGAGGAGGCAAGATGCAGACCCCAGCCGCCCGAAAGCCGTCCTCCAGACCGCGTGCCACGGCGCCAACCTGGCAGCTCTTACTTCCATCTGAAGCAAAGAAATTCTGTGCAAGCTGAAACAGGGACCTTCAAGCACGGGCAGCATCTTCGGTGTCTATTGCGAAGGGATCACCCATCGTACCAGTTGCGCTCATTATATGGTGCACATGTCGTCTGATGTGGTCCCGATATGAATATCTACTCATGCGCTTTCGAGATACATGCGGATGGTAGAGGCCGGGCAGTTTCTCCCAATATGCGTGTTCATATGCAGTGGTGTCAGGTCGACGGCAGTACCTATTGCACGATGCTGTGGATCCACGCGACTATGACGAGGGAGATATACGATAATATCCAGCGGAAGCAGCCTGTCTTTGGATGGTGCAAGTTTTGGAGCCGCATAGTCAAGATGTATCTTGCGGCACGGGCTATTCCTACCGCGTTTCCGAGTTTTCACGCTTACTCGGACGAGCCGATCGAGGACTCCGACCTGGGGATGGACAAACGTGGACCTTTCGAAGCCAAGCTGATCCCCAAGAACGAGAGACGGGCCCCTTAATGGATCATAGAGCTCAGCGCAGCATCCCGCTAGAGCGGGCTGGGTATCAGTGTGACCCCAGCAGCTCCGAGCCGAAGTGTTTCATGGGCGAGATGGGGAAAGCTGCGGGCGAAGCAGGATATGACAATCCCTGGGTGGACCTCTCCGGGGGGCGTTCTCAAGGCCTATGTGTTCGCGTGGCTGCGCCAAATGCGTGTCACAGACGTTTTGGGACTATTGGTGAAGTCTACGGTATCCAAATGACCATGGCTCCCTAGAGCAGCGAGAGGAAGTTCGTGAACTGAGGCCGAGTCGTCTCTTCGGCTGCCGCTGTGGTTCGCAAGGGCCGTTGAAATATCTGGCGCGCAGGCGACGGGCGCGCTCTGGCCCCCGTAAAATGAAAGCGAACGTGCCCTTTTATAGCACGGGTCTCCCTACTTGTACTTCGTGTCTCTCTGTGTTCCATAACAACTACTTCCGTGCATTCCACGTATGTTCTTCATCTTCGTGCTTAGCGGCGTGTAGAATAGGCACCCGTAGCACGGCGACGATGGGC